GTAACAAGTGCCTTACTAGTAGTAACAAGAAGCTATTAGGAACAAGTCGGTCAGGTTTTATCCTGGGATCCACCGGAAGAACTCCTGCGTGTGCACGTCTATGTGGCGTACCTAGCCATCGGAGACCGCGGGCAGCACCTTAGCTGATGCAACACAACTTATATTCAAAGCAAAAGAGCACAAACACAGTCCATACTGTTTTTGGACACTTGGAATCATACTGTACACAATACTGTTCGTCATTTTTCCTTTTTGCAACATGGTCACCAGGAACCGTTCACAGATTGGATCTGATGTTCCGGTGGGCACAGATCAGCTGGACATCCCACCAGAGCCGCCACGGCTGTCGTTCTCTCATTTCGCTGCTTGGAAGAAATATGGAACTTGTTTTCCTTTCTAGAAAGAGTGCTAATATGCGGTATAAATGACTCGATATATAATATTCTTTTCAGGGGGGTAAGCGAAGAAGCTACTAGTACCCGTAGCTCGTAGTAAGGGGTAAGTAGTAGCTTAAGTAGCTACTTGCTTAGACACGGAAGAGCTCTTACATGATTGATTTGGTTCCTAGTTGCTCTTTTCTTTTGAAGCTTCTTATTTTTATCTTTCCATTCTGCACAGTAGAGTCTTAGAGGTTTTGTATGTTTCTGCCTTTAGTCAGCATGGTCGGTTTAGTTCATGATGCAATGAGCCCACAAGTTTCTACGAAGTGTTGTCTGAACTGAGGTCCTCTACACGAAGTCCACCTTGGTGGAACAGAGCACCCCCACCAGCTTGCTAATACAGGAGCAGATCCCAGACTCCCCCAATCCCAGCATGCCCTCCCTTCCCTCTCTTTCATGATGCCCAACCAAAATTATAGGACTTCATTTTCACTCTTCTAGCGCGGAGAAATAATGCAATCCCTGCCTCGCTTGTCAGAGGTTTCGTTGTCAGGTTGTGATCATAAGGAAGAAAGTTACTGACTGGACATGAGAAGCACAACTCTATGACACACACACACACAATCACACAACAATGCACAATTTCAGTGGAATGTACTCAAGAACAGTTGGATCCAGGATGCAGTGGCCTCCTCATCCAACGTGACCTTCAAGGACAAGGACTTGGATCAGTGGCAGGCACCCAATGTGACAAGCTGCAGTGGATTTGACATGTCAAGAGCAGGTCTTATCACGGGTCAGGGATTGATGTATTTTTGATGAATTCAACAAATGGCCGGGGTTAAATGCATGGCAAGGCTGCATTCCCTGAAGAAAAGACGTGTGTGGATACTAAACAAAAATACACAAATACATTGCCGTCGAGGTTTGCTGCTTGTTCCTCGCATGTTTTCAAAAGAAGCAATGCTTAAAGCGTTTGAAGTGTTTCTCAACTGGGATTTTGCAGAGAGTGATTTACCCTTCTGTTTGCAATGGAATAGACTCAGCAAGTGAATGTGCACTTCTTTCCCTTTTGTCGGGCGGACACTTTGAAGAAGATTCATGTCGCTTCAAATTGCTTGATAGCAACTGATAGATCACGCACATGCTGTGCAGGTGGCAGGCAACATCACTTGGGTCGAGGCGGATGATACTTCAGCCGCTTGTTGAAATCATCAGGGAATTCAGGTCCCACAAGGTGGGATCCTTGGGATCGTTTGGGCAGACCTTAGCAGCGCAACCCCCTCTTGACCAAAGGGCATGTTATTTTTTTTCAAAAAAGTTTGGTCTTCAGGTGTTTGAAGGCGTTTGGCCATTGAACATCTGCAGCTGCTGTAAGCATACGCGGTTTGTCAATGCACAGAATAGCTGCATAGCCGCTTAGCCTGTTCTTAACCATCCAGACCGACCAGAAAGCCAGGTGGACCTGAACCTGTGGACCTGTGAGAAACTGTCGACTGCCGCTTTGTTTGAGGATGTCGAGGAGTATTTGATCTACATGGCGGAAGATCGTTTTGGCTCTAACAGGTCCTTGCTTGGCAACTCAGCAGCACCCTGCGACGCGGCTGTAGGTCAAATGGACCTAGCAGCTGCGTAGCTGGCTTGCAGTCACCACACCTCGGAAAGCTCAACGTCGCAACAGAATCCTGAAGACTGAACATCATCTTAAATAACTTAAACCCTTGAACCGAGGAAGCGCAAACCCAGGGAGCACAAGCTTTGCCGTGGAGGACTGAAGCGGTTGAGGTGTACGAAGCCTTTTTTACACTGGCAGCATCTGGCAGCATTTGTCAACTGCTGGCGTACTGACGTAAACCTTTCTGTTCTCATCGTGCTTGACCTTCATCATTTCAATTTGCCAGGACAACACGCCCTTGTTGTCGTTCACGCACTTTGTGGTGTACTCCAGGCCCGGAAGCTTCCATGAAGCGCCATACATTCAAGCAGGGTCAGAATATTTTAGAAGCAAGATGTGGTTCGAGTAAGACAGAAATGAAACCCAAGGGTCAGCATCTTACCGAAATATGCCAAATTAGACTCAGATGTAGTAACAAGTTCATCGCTGCTAGTAACAAGTGCATTACTACTAGTAACAAGAAGCTACTAGTAACAAAGGCATCGCTATTAGTAGCTTCTTGTTACTAGTAGTAATGCACTCATTACTAGTAGCAATCGTATGCCTTAAGCTGAGAGTGTTGTACCTTGTTTCGCCTCAACAGGTCCAGTCTCGTGGAGCAGAGCACTCCTGGAGCCGTGGTGATCATTGATGCATCTTGCCATGGACCACCAAAGGAAACCATACTGCTACTACAGGAGCTCCTAGTAAGCGTCCTTGCTCCTAGTAGAGATGCCCTTTGCTCCTAGTAGCTTCTTGCTCCTACTAGGAAGGCCAGGAGCCCCTAGTAGCGTCCTTGCTCCTAGTACCTTCTTGTTACTCAGAGGATTGAGAAAACCAAGGTCTATCACGGTAAGATAAGCTGTACTCAGTGGCAAGTCGTGACATGCGTCAACAATCTTCAACAGCCGCAATCTGCAAACAGCAGAATATGATTATTAGCATCTCGAGTCCTTTAAGCAAAGCCTTGCTGCTTTTTTGCTTCCTGTCTGACTCAAGACTTGCATTCTTTCTGCTTTATTGAAGCAAGACCCCATATATAATTGTATATTCTCACTTGACTGACATAGGGGTGAAAGGGAGTGATCGCATGCACATGAAGAAGGAATCAAGCAGTCCTCCGCAAGGTGAGCGCGGCTGTGGAACAGTTATCCTTTGTGGACCTGGATCTTGATGCTTCAGAATTGGGAGGCGAAGTCACTTGGTCTCCACCCACAGTGACTCGGTACAAGCAGAGTGGCTTCAGGCAGGCTCATGCCCCTAATGTCGCCGGTTACATTCTTCACCACATCAGGTTGCTCAGGCATCTTCGCTTACTCGTACTGTAGTTGCCGTCCGCGGCATTGTGAGCAGTTCCCAGCGCAATTGAATTGCATGCGTTTGCGTGGTGGCTGTAAAGGGACAACTTACTGTACCTGAATCGCTCAATTAAATTTGCTGCCGACCTTCTCCATGCCTCACTCCTGCCAGAAGCACATTCGCACATTTCTGCTGAGTCTGGCTTGGAACAAGTGAACGGCTATGGCGTCTACCTCTCTGATGCTGCTTATGTGGCCCGCAGCCAGGTGGGCGACGCATGGGAACTTGTACGTGTTCGTTGACGTGACAAAGTAACCTCAAGTGTTCCAGTGTTCCAACATGTTTGATTCCACTGGATTTTTCATCACTAAAGCCCCTCACCTGGCCAGCCCCTGTGCAGATTGGCATCGTGCCGAAGGGCACTCATGTCAAAGCAGTGCCTGACAGCACAGTTTCTCGGCGATTTAGCAGCTACTAGGGGCTCTTGGCCTTACTACTGGGAGCAAGGACGCTACTAGGGGCTCCTGGCATCGCTACTAGGAGCAAGGACGCTACTAGTAGCTCCTGGCCTTACTACTAGTAACAAGAAGCGACAAAGGGAACTTTAGTCAACGAGGCCACGCCCCTCATCTCGGAGTGCCACTTTGGGATTCCTTTCAAGTTGAGGGTTTCTCTTCCTTGGCATGTTTGCGTAGTGGTTCTATTTGTACTATTTTGTACTGAAAATTACTAACTTCACAAGCTTCACCCCTTCCAGGATTCTCTTACAGATTCTCACTCAGGAGTTGTTTTTCTTGGGTAGTGGCAATGAAGACAAGAACTTGAGGAAGTATCTCCGACTCCTTACGCATCATGTAGGATCCTAACATATGCTAAGCTAGGGAGCCGAAATGTTCTGAGGCCCGTCAAAGCTTCACCCATGTGCTGGTGTATTCTCGTTCAGATGCTTTCCAGCAAAGCACTCCGGCTGCGACCGCCATCTCTGATGCCTTGGCACAGGCAGACCGGACCAACGCATCGACATCGATTTACAGTACTTCTGTGTGGCGGCAAGAGCACATGGACATACAAAAGGAAGCGCCCGCATCACAAGGAGTCGGTAATGTGTTTAGATAAATGTTTTCAATATGTCAATATGTTTCAATAGTCTAGACTCTAGACTCTAGACTCATCGTTTTTTGGATTCTAGACATATGACACCTTGGTCAGGTGACCTCCTTGGAGTTTACAGACTTTGACTTGGATGAGACCGAAGTGGGTGGAACGCTGCCACTTGTTAGCAAGAAGTTGGCTTGGGTTGCCGCAATGAATTTGTGGTACTTGTGGTTCCATGGAACATGCATACTGCTTCTCCCTTGCTTGATTAACGAGGCGCCCACTTAGTTATATAGTAGGAGCGGGCAAAAACAAACCACAAAAAAACGGTATATACATAATTTTGGCAATTCTAGTTTATTTATATGGTTAAAGTTAAACTAAAGGCTTCGCAGTGACAATTGATTGTCCACACCTTTGCGGGTCTCACTTGGGATTCCATTGGATTCTAGATTCTAGCTGATTCCTTAGATGCTTCTAGAAGGTCTGGGTATGAGATAGTTTGACTGGTTATGTTCGTTTGAAGCTTCAAGGAACGGCTTTTGTCTCGCCAGTCTGATGATGAAAAGAAAGAGCTCAGCATGATTCAACTGCATCGCTACTAGTATCTACTAGTAGCTTCTTGCTACTAGTAACGATGGCGATGGCCTCCACCTAGTAGCTTCTAGCTACTATTTCTGTTTAAGCATCTCTGCCACCAAGATGAATCATTGTGTATTGAAGATCTTAAGTCTCGGGGAAATATTATGTTTCATGACTCACAGTGGGAGCTTCCAGTCTTTGCTTGGGATGTATTGTCCGGAGTTTCGTTGTCTGCGACCATTGCTTTGAGGATGTGGCAGGCACCAGAAGATACCACCTATGTGGCCTACTACAATGCATACAAAGCCTACTTCTGCGGCTTGACCTCAAAGCATCCTTGAGGGCTTTCCATGTGGAGTTTGAGCTGCTCAAACGGTTGCATCTTGACAGTATCCCGGTTTCTTGCGCAAGTTGGAAGGCCAAGTGGCTGTCTCTGAGGTAATGACACGAATGACACCAATGCAGCTTGGCATTCAATCTTGCTGTGGGCATTGCGGTTTGCATCAACCTTCTGTTGTATGTTGAATCTTCAACGTCTCTGTCTCTATGCTTTTCTTCGCAAATCAACCACCACCACAGGTTCCAGATGCGTGTGAGCTCTTTTGGGCATGTTTGAGTGAGTTTGCCCAATGGAACCGGCCTTGCACAGGGCGAGCCCATCTATGTGGCTGGCACCTTCAGCTTTTTGATGGAAGCATCTCCTGAACAGGCGCGGCTCACGAAAGCATACCGTGTTGGTTTGGTAGCCAGTTTTCATGTTATATAGGCAAGATAAAGTTGCATGAGTACGTAGAACAGTGCAGGCCAATTTTGACCGGTGTCAGACCATTTATCATCAACATCTTCAGCTTCTCAGCATCAGCTATTTCGTGGGAGGTTTCAAGTGCAGCACGGAGCGCTTTGGCATCAGTATTGGGGGTTGCGCCCGAAACCTTGAGTGTGGAAGCCTAGTGCGTCGCATGTGAATTTGGCTGTTGCAGTATCTTATCAAGCAGAACTGCCTGGTGTTCACGAGGAGAGTGCCTCTGATAGCCTCAGGTGTCACCATCAATCTAGCACGACGACTCAGTTCGTCATCCTTCCAGACCAATTTCATTGTCCACTATGACCTGCGCTCAGCATTTGCGCATCCGAATCTCACGAGTTGGGTGGTAAACAATGCTGACGCAGGGGATTTATCTCGCAAACCGCAAGCTCAACATGGCAGTTGTTGATAGTTGTTCTTACCTAGTGCAGTAGCTACATTGAACTTGCTGCATTGCTGTTTGTTTTCCTTGACTTTGACGATTTTTCCACAGTCAAGTCGCCAGTGCCGAGGAGCTCCCAGTGATGTCGCCAGAGGTTCCGCATTTGCTGGCAGGAAGCGCTGAAGCAGAAGCTGATGGAATGGCCCCGAAGCTGCAGTTTGGACGGAAGCGTGGCAGGTGGCGAATGGATCGGGAAGGGGTTTTGCTGTGGGAAGGACTGGCATTGCTTTGTTAATTGGTAAGGACATGAATTCTGAATGTATATAAAAGGGCAGAATTACATCATTTGTCATAGATGTTGAGGGTCTGTTCTTTTCTGTCACTCGAAGAAGTTGTGCCCAGGATTAGGAATGCTGTGACAAGAATGCGCAAGGTGCATGCAAACGAGCATGTTAGTGTTGCCACACTGTGTTGGTGAATAACCCCAAACCCGTATCGCTTTAGCACTATGAAGCCAACATGTACCGAAGCAGCACAAAGGGAAGACATCATTGACACCCTTTGACAGTGGAAAAAGACAAGAAAAAGAAGGTAAAGGTAAGGGCTCCATTTCAATTGGGCCTTCGTTTTTGCTCTCATGCTGATCGAAGCGAATCCACAGCGATGAAGGGCTTCCGCGCCAACAGTCAACACAATTATTGGTCAAAAGGGATCTCCAAGACAGAAGGGTGTCCTTTGCGCCCTTGCAAAATGCAAAGCACATGAGCTCAAGAACCGGGTTAGGCAACCAAACTTTGGCTCCATGAAAACACGTTTTGCTATTGTTCTTGTTGCGGAACTCCAAGTGCAATGGAGCTGCAATCATGTTCTTTAACTTACACGCTGCAAGCCCATCACGCAATACTTTGGCGCATGCATGGGGAGGGGCAATGACATTCTGTTCAAGGTCAAACAAAATCCTGCGAAGTGGGCAACAACTACCAACTCAAAGACAGAGCACGCAAGGCATTCTCCCAGGCGCCATTTCAAGGAATTGATGAACATCATAAATTTACGAGAATTGCCCTCTGTGAGTGTCCGCTTCGTTTTCGGAGGAGTAGAAGGATCGAGGTCAGCGGACCAGGTATGTTGCATTTCATCACTATCCCATGGCCACATGGGACAAAGACGAGGAAGCTGAGGAGGTGCTTCATCAACCTGCTGAAAGGGGCCTTATTAAAGGAACCCTCATTTTCTGTTCTTCTCTTCCTTCTTGAGCTGTTTTCCCTTTCTGATACCCTTTGACACCCTTTGATCCTCTTTGACCAGAAAATGGAACTCCATGCGGAGGTGACTTACTTCACTAGTTGGTCCTGGCGTTTTGCTTCCTGAGGTAGCTGTGGGCTTTGCTCAGCTTCTTTCCAAGGACACCTTCCTGCTTTTCAAACGGGTCTGGAAGCTGAGTTTCAAGCACTGTCAGGAACTGTGCCAAAGTGGATTGCCAGCGCAAGATCTGTCGTTGCAACCTGTGGAAGGCTGCGAGGGGACATCAGTAGACAGTGTACAGTATCCTCATCCCCCGTATTCTGTTGCTTTGCTGTTCCTCATACCTCAACTGCCCAAGCTTACAATTCGGAGCTATCAGATGTTTGAGACCTGTCAACTACGTAGGCAGTGCCTGCCGGCAGCTTGATCCAGTGGCAGTCGTTGCTTTACCATTTGCATTGCAGGCCTTCACTTGGAGGTGGAGCTAGAGCAGCCAACGGTCATGGAAGAGGCAGGGGCTGGCGGAGCATAATGAAGTCATAAGGTACTCGCATTTGGCCGGACACGACCCGTACCAGTAGAGTTTAATCCCTGGCAAGATACCAAAACGCAGAGTTGCTGCCTTTCCACTTACTCTCTTATTGTTTGAGAGTATTCCGAGAGTCACTGAGAAGAACGAGATTGCTTGATAGATCAACGTGCTACAAGGACTCCAGTACTTCAAGGATGCGCTCATGGTTGTTGACAGAGGTGAGCTCGACATGTATTGTTTGAGGATGCTGAAGGTAAGCAGAGGAATGACACATTCCGTTTCTTGCAAGGAACCAAGAACATAGTAATAATTGATATGTTATTTTATGTACACTTAATCAAGTATACTCTCAGTACTTCTTCGTTTGCACTCGTGGCCTATTGAATTTGCTTTGCAAGGAGGCCCTTGCACGGCGCCTCACAGGCCATGGTTCTGATGTGTTGTCTTGTGGCTTTTGTTGCCTTCCTACCCAAACCGCTTGCTTGAACAAGTAGCCTGTCAGTGGCGTGGTGTCGTCCAAGATAGATGAAGAACCTTCAGGCCTTTGAAGTTAAGTTTCCCTAAATCTAGGAACCAAATCATTAGTCCCAGAGCTTCCTTGAATTGATGATGCGTCCTACCTAGAAGCTAACTTAGCCTAGTAGCGAACTAGTTTCTCCCTTAGAGGAGCGGGCAACCAACAGATGATTTGTACCTCTTGTTTTGCGTGGCTGCGGGTTGGATGTTTCAGGTGCCGTCGATACTGACGACAGCCTCTTGGCAAATGAGCTCATGGAAGAACGATTCCTTGTGAATGCAGCTGCAGATGTTTGCCTGGCAACGTTTGTCTTTCGGAAGAATCGTCGGAGCACTTGCCAGCAATTTGAAGACGTGTCTTTGACCTAACCTAACACCCTTGCTTTGAGGTGATGCGGACACAAATCAGAGCGACACTACAGATGAGTGGGACTTGAGCAATTTCACAGGCCGCACATTGAACAAGGGCTTTCCTATGGCTTCCGCACGGGGTGCGCGTGACATTTCATATTAGTTCATTAAATAAGGCAGTTCTTCTTGGACACACTAAGCTGACAATGTGCGCAGGCGATGTGGCAGCGCAGATCAGCGGCCTCTTCCGCTTTAACTTGGCTGGAGCCAATGCGGGGCAGGCCCGTGGGGGAGATGGAAACCAGAAACAATCCTTGCCTCCTTTCATCTTCACTTTCACCCCAGTAATTATGTGAGGGAGGATCTGGAATGACACATAATTTTGCTGATACAAATAGGCAATCAACAAGATGGATGAGAAAGAATAGTTGCACACATTCAGCAAGGAACATCCAGTAGCTAGTAACTAGTGACGGAGTGGATGGCTGGAAGGTGGGAGGAAAGCTGACAGGTAGGTAGACCAAGCTAGAAGCCAATATACAAACATGCAGGAGGAGACACTGAAGCAGACACATGTCATTATCAAAGTATTTGTGCACCAAGCACGGAGTGCGAACTGTAGACATGCCGCAGCCCTGTGTGGCAAAAACTATGACAGTGCCTTCACAATGCTATTCCAATTGACACTGTGTTGTGTTACTTGGGCAAGGGCAAGCTACTGCGAATGTCGCCAAGCACATTGATATGCTGTAATCATTTAAAGGAACGCGTTGGTGAACAGTTTGTAGTTCTTGCAATTGAGGTACGGCTGGCTGCAAAAAATGCGCTGGCCGCAACCTTCGGCGTCAGTGTCAATGACATCAGCAACTTGCACTTAATCGACACGGAGGACTTTTGTTGAGTCAACTTCACCCGGAATCAATGGAATTAACGTTTATTCATAAAGGGAATCCATTCCTTTTCCTGAATCATTGTGGCATTGTTTTCAATTGAACGTGCCGTTAGACAAATCCACCGCATTTCCTTTTCCGAGCATTTCTTCGGTGCCAAAACCACCGCCGCTAGATCAAATCATGAAGTCATGGCAGAGTTGCACATGTCTATAATCACAACAAGGCATCTGAAACCCAGAAGGCTACAGTACTGAGGATTGGAAAAAGATACGGATACTTTTAGCTCCTTTCTTTTCATGGGCCTGGGCAAGGATGAGACAGGCGGCATCAAATTTGCGACTCAAGACTCAAGCAATTCTACTTGACCAGCTAGTTGCATTTATTTGCTCAGGTGTTGCGCTGAACGAGGGCAGGCGCCTAGCTTCTTCACGAAGCCTCTCATTTGCCTGGACTGCCATGCACTCAGTGGAAACATTTTAGAGTCACCACGAGGCAGACACATCTAATCATTAGTGCAGGGATGTCGAAAATCGAAGTGTCGTTGGTTTGATACAATTTCCATTGTATTAGTTGGATTACACCACATTGGTGTCCTTGTTGGCCAACTTGAGGTCACTTACCAGATCACCGTGCCGCTGGCATCCGCTCAGGCTGGGGTTTCCAAGATTATGTCCCAGACCTCACACAAGAAGCCTGGCAACTGCCGGACCTCACACCTTGAGAGCATCGCTACTAGGAGCGATCGGACGCTACTAGGGGCTCCTGGCCTTACTACTAGGAGCAAGAAGCTACTAGGAACAAAGGGCATCGCTACTAC